GTGCAATGATACTTTAAAAGAACATTTTTCCCCGTTGTGAATTCAAATAAAGATGACTGCAACAATACATTGCACACATTTTTTTTTGTCTGCTGTATTTTGCTGTATCTCGTCAGGTGCATACAAAAGTGATACCAATATACAATTTTGCCACTGAAACAATAGTGTGTGTGTGATTTATTTAGTGAAGCAGCATGATGTGTCTTTGATGGAGGCGGCCAGAAAAGCAACAAGCAGAACCTTAATACTCCCTCGACACCCAAAGCAGGAAAAGAAGAAGTGAAACAATGGACTTGGGATGTTTGGACTTCAGTGACAAGATTTGTTTGTTTTTATTTTTGGGGTGCTTTATGTTTTAATGTAAATGTAAAGTAATGTGTGCCTGATGAGGTACAGCAGAATGTGGCTGACAGTAAACAGCAGTTTATGCAGTATATTGCTAGTGCCCTCATTATTGAAACTAGACTTCATCCTTCAACACCCCCTGCCACTGGCAGATTTTTTCACTAGAGAAGGGCAGTGTTTTGCTGCAAAATGTCACAATTGTCCTGCAGGAAACAGCAGAATCGACTGATTTTCAGGCACAGTAGATAGAGACTGGGCACAAGAACATTTTTGATGAATTGTTTGTAATCTTCTGATGTAGAAATAAACTCTTGGCTGAACCACAAACAGGTTAGTGAACATTCCCTATTGAGTATTGGCCAACAGTTCTGTTCTGCTGTGGATCAAAGCAACTTCACTGTTGACCCACCTTTATAAAATGGAAACATCAAGGGGCATATTGAGTAAATCAGCTTTTGTGTTTCAGCCTCTTTCTGAAAATCATGAGCTACCATCACATCCCTTGTCTGTCGGCTTGAAGATCTGGGGTTCGAATCTGCATTAAAGCGGATTTTTATAAAATAACCTTTGTTGCCAGGTTGACTCGATCTAAAGTGAGTGGCTGACATGATGCTGACCATATCACTCACCGAGTGCCGATGTGTCTGTAAAAAAAAAACACGTGACTGGTATCATGTGTCCTTTTACTAGTGTGTAAGAAGGCTGCCTCATTTATTATTCATCACCTCTGCAATCTTCTTGTATGACAGAATAACTGGACTTCCCTGCTCACCTTGTCCCTATAAATACACACTGTAGTCAGTAACATTGAGTCAGATGTTTACTGTTTATATTTTCTGACCACAGGACAGGGTTGTGATAACCATGGTTTGTGTGACATGGCTGTGCTATGACCATGGTTTGTGTGACATGGCTGTGCTATGACCATGGTTTGTGTGACATGGCTGTGCTATGACCATGGTTTGTGTGACATGGCTGTGCTATGACCATGGTTTGTGTGACATGGCTGTACTATAACCATGGTTTGTGTGACATGGCTGTACTATAACCATGGTTTGTGTGACATGGCTGTACTATGACCATGGTTTGTGTGACATGGCTGTGCTATGACCATGGTTTGTGTGACATGGCTGTACTATAACCATGGTTTGTGTGACATGGCTGTACTATGACCATGGTTTGTGTGACATGGCTGTGCTATGACCATGGTTTGTGTGACATGGCTGTGCTATAACCATGGTTTGTGTGACATGGCTGTACTATGACCATGGTTTGTGTGACATGGCTGTGCTATGACCATGGTTTGTGTGACATGGCTGTGCTATGACCATGGTTTGTGTGACATGGCTGTGCTATGACCATGGTTTGTGTGACATGGCTGTGCTATGACCATGGTTTGTGTGACATGGCTGTGCTATGACCATGGTTTGTGTGACATGGCTGTACTATAACCATGGTTTGTGTGACATGGCTGTACTATAACCATGGTTTGTGTGACATGGCTGTACTATAACCATGGTTTGTGTGACATGGCTGTACTATGACTATGGTTTGTGTGACATGGCTGTGCTATGACCATGGTTTGTGTGACATGGCTGTGCTATGACCATGGTTTGTGTGACATGGCTGTGCTATGACCATGGTTTGTGTGACATGGCTGTGCTATGACCATGGTTTGTGTGACATGGCTGTACTATAACCATGGTTTGTGTGACATGGCTGTGCTATGACCATGGTTTGTGTGACATGGCTGTGCTATAACCATGGTTTGTGTGACATGGCTGTGCTATGACCATGGTTTGTGTGACATGGCTGTGCTATGACCATGGTTTGTGTGACATGGCTGTGCTATGACATGTAGAACAGTGTAGATTTCGATCAATAACCACCTCTGTAGATTTAGGTAGCACCTCTTAACCAGTGCTGCCCAGTGGAAATTTGCTCAGTGTTTGTTTAAACACCCTCCCTCCCCCTACACTGAAAGTGATGAGCAGTGACACGTGATTAAACTTCTTTAGTGTGGAAATCAGACTTTCTATTCCAGTTGTTTGTCTGCTCCTTTTGTTGTGTGTTATGTTTCATTTGGGGGCTGGGGGCGTGTGTATCAGCTGAATGCTCGTCTGCCGATCCAAAGGTCATGAGTTCAGGTTCTGATGGAGCTGGACCTTTTGTTTTAAACAAATAACTTTAGCTTCTAGCCTTAATGGATAAAAAGTAAAGTAAAGATCCCTTTTCATGCCTTAGGCGCATCGGGTATATGAGAAGAGCGTCCCATATTTTTTCAGACCAATCGGCACTGGATGGGTAATGTGGCAGCCATCCTGGTACCCATTTTAGGCTGGGTTGACCTGCGACGCCCCATACCATGATAAAAATCCACGCAGCCGCAGTGGGTTTCGATCGCGGTAAGCCTTAATGGGTCACTACATCAAAACCTTTTTTTTTTGGATTTACAATGTAAGACCAATTATTCTATAATGGTAATTTGTAGGCATAAATGTTAATACATTTGCATACTTTGAGTTTAAAAAAAATCAAATTTGCCATGGTAACAGCCGCCCTCTTGGCGGGGATTAGAATTTTAGAATGATAAAACATAGGTATTGAGAAATAGATGATGGATTAATTAACTTTAATCCTATGTTGAGCTACAGGTATAGTTTATTTACTTTAAAAGTGTTTATGAATAGTTTTCTTAGAATTTTAAAATGTAGGTTTGTTAAAAAAGCTCCAAAAAATGTAGCATCGTAAGACAATAATCAAATAGACCTGTCCCTATAATATTGTTTTTTCAATGCCCAATACGCCTGAAGATGTGGAAAGGGGACCTTTAAATGTTTTATTTGTGGGTAGAATTAGATGATTTGTAGAATAGAATAGGGGTGACTACAGCAGTGATTACGACTTTTGCTGTAAGTTGTGAAGGTTGTAGGTTTGATTTGGACTTTTCTTCAGTTTATGATGATGGTTTCTGCTCTGATGAACGGCTAGCTACTCTGAGAAGGACCGAGTCATATGGAGTAAAAACCCGGCTCAGTGAACTGATTCTCTCATCTTTAGGTATATGAAGTAAGTAATTGGAGGTGAAACTGCTGTTGCTGAAATCATCTGATTTCTGCGATTCACATCGCTTGTCATCGTCTATGGCTTATGCGTTGTGGACACTTCACAATTCCAAAATATCCACTTCTGGTTGCAAGTAGTATGGCACCAGACCGTTTTGCTTTGATTTCAGCAATGTTATGGAGTGCTGATCGTTTAAAAAGCAATGGAAAAACTACAGAATGTAGAATTGCCAAATAAAATGAAACGACGCAACAACAAAATGCTGGGGTTGGTTCTGCCAATATCCTACACAGGATATGCAGTTGCCCATTTTTTTACACCAGTTCTTTTTCTTCTTCTCTTCCACCATTTACCTCAGCTTCTTCTTGTCACACCGGCATTTCTCCTAAAACATTGAAAATCTATTGTTAGGATATTCCGCTCATTAGTTATGGTCTTCTTCTTCTTCTTCGCGTTTAACAGATGTAAACTGTAGCAGAAAGTTCTGGTTGTTCATCCACTTCTGGACTGCAGTCCTGTTCTAGATGTTGATTGTTGTGTGTGCATCCGTTTGACAGATCTGACTAATTTGTATGCAGACTGTGGGTTCCTTGCCTCAGGCAGATGCACTCTGACTTTGAAGAAAGCTCCCAATTAGTTGATTCTTATGATGACATGGTTTGGGGTAGGCAGTGGGTCTATTCTTGTTTTCCCTATAACAGGGCCCCGGAACCCACACAAGGAATTAGTTATAGTAAGGGTCCATGTTTGGCACTGCTATCACAATGTCACCCCCCCCCCCCCCCCCCCCCCCCATCTTTCTGATAAAATTTGCTTTGGTTGACAGAGGTATCTTCCTTTGGGTCATGTGAGTTAATTGTCCCATAACCTGATTTGCTTTCACACATCGTATGTTGCTTTCTCTATCCATTCTTCCATCTGTAGTGAAAAAAAGACCCTAGATTTTTTAATTCGCTCGTTTGTTTTATTTCTGTGTTATTCACTTCAACTGATATGGTTTTTTCTTGTCTACCTATTACCATTGCCTCTATCTTATCAATGTTTATTGTCATATTATATTTTTCACACTTAGTATTGACTTGGTCTGTATGGTTTTGTAAACTCTCTTCTGTTTCAGCTATTAATACTTGGTCAGCTGCCAATAATAGTTCTGAGACATCATTCTTTTCTTCGTTTCTTTTTTCTTTGCATATACTGTTGCTGTATGCTATAAATTTTATACCAGTAAACTACCAAATTATAGCAAGTAGTTTTGTTGAGTTTATGCTGACATAAACTCAACATGAAATTGTCTAGTAAGTAAAATCACACATCCTCTTGTAGCCAGTCCTTTACAGAATGTCATTCCCTTCACAACAGGCCTAAAAGAAACCCAGTCCGTCACCAGCTTTCCTGCCGCAGGTGTCTCCTATGGCTTGTGCTCACCTTTGTGATGATCAACCCCTGTCCCTTTTTCCATGGTATCGAAACTTCCCTCCTACCTCCATAAAGCCATTGCCAGATTTGATGAAAACTGCACAACAACCAGTAAATGCTGGGAATTGCCTGTGATGTCCTGTAAAAAACATACAACTGACTTCCGAACCAGTTCAGTTGCTCTCGGAAGACTCAGCCGTACTGTCCGAGTCAGAGTCTGTCCCTGTCTCAGGTGATGATGCTTTGAGAATAGGGCCTCGTCCGCTGTGGCTGTGTTGTGTTTTGATAGGAGTGCTGCTGTTAGAAACTGATAGCACATCTGCAGAAAGTAAGGCTGCAGACCAGAGCAAGCCAGATGATGGCTTACTTTGACTGCTACCTGCTGACACTTTTTGGGATGTTCTGAGGAAGTCAAGAAAAAAAAAAAACGACAAGTTTTAGTCAAACTGAATAAAGATGAACAAGATAATATTCAAACAAATAATGTAACAATAAGTAAAATCTCTGTACAGTCATATATAAATAAAATTCACTTAGACCTGCAAAACCCTAAAAGTACTTGGCATACCATATTTGTTCAGTACACTTAAAGGTAAACTAAGAATGTTCAATTCAAATTTAAATTATACAATGCAGTTCTGAAACAAGGGTAATGTAAGCAATAAAATGGCCATAAAGTAAACACTGAATCATTTCTATGGTTTGGTATCTCACTAGAAAGTAAGAGGAACAACTAAGACCTCAAGACAGGTGATTATTTTGCTGCTACAATGTGGACAGCTGGTTTTGTTGCAGATGTGTCCACAAATATGCCCGCTGGTTTTGTTGCAGATGTGTCCACAAATATGCCTGCTGGTTTTGTTGCAGATGTGTCCACAAATATGCCAGCTGGTTTTGTTGCAGATGTGTCCACAAATATGCCCGCTGCTGCAAGGGCCTGCAAATCTGCTTTTGTTTCTAAAAATGCATCCTCACAATGTGATGATTTCACTAGGACACAGTTGAGGCACTGCATGTTGAGATACAACATTCGGTCATGAACACATAGTAAATAGTATGTCAATATTCAGTAGTACTTGAGAAATGCTCATAATTTTAAATATATGTACACACTTTCAACTATATGTACACACTTTCAACTATATGTACACACTTTCAACAATATGTACACACTTTCAACAATATGTACACACTTTCAACTATATGTACACACTTTCAACTATATGTACACACTTTCAACTATATGTACACACTTTCAACTATATGTACACACTTTCAACAATATGTACACACTTTCAACAATATGTACACACTTTCAACAATATGTACACACTTTCAACAATATGTACACTTTCAACTATATGTACACACTTTCAACAATATGTACACTTTCAACAATATGTACACACTTTCAACAATATGTACACACTTTCAACAATATGTACACACTTTCAACAATATGTACACTTTCAACAATATGTACACACTTTCAACTATATGTACACACTTTCAACAACATGTACACACTTTCAACAACATGTACACACTTTCAACAACATGTACACTTTCAACTATATGTACACACTTTCAACAATATGTACACACTTTCAACAATATGTACACGCTTTCAACAATATGTACACACTTTCAACAATATGTACACACTTTCAACAATATGCACACACTTTCAACAATATGTACACTTTCAACTATATGTACACACTTTCAACTATATGTACACACTTTCAACAATATGTACACACTTTCAACAATATGTACACTTTCAACTATATGTACACACTTTCAACAATATGTACACACTTTCAACATGTACACACTTTCAACAATATGTACACACTTTCAACAACCTGTTAGAGAAAAAAGAAGGCAGTCTGATAGCAGCTAATCTGGAAGTCTGAAAGCAGCTAATTTAGAGTTTTGAAAGCAGCTAGTCTGGAGGTTTGATAGTAACTAATCTGGAGGTTTGATAGTAACTAATCTGAAGGTCTGAAAGCAGCTAGTCTGGAGGTTTCATAGTAATTAATCTGGATTTCGAACACAGCTAATCTGGAGCTATGAACACAGCTAATCTGGAGGTCTGATAGTAACTAGTTCTCAGCTCTACAACTAGTCTGGAGGTCTGATAGCAACTAGTCTATAGCTATGAACGCAGCTAATCTGGAGGTCTGATAGCAACTAGTCTATAGCTATGAACGCAGCTAATCTGGAGGTCTGATAGCAACTAGTTCGCAGCTCTTCAACTAGTCTGAAGCTCTGAAGCAGCTAATCTGGAGTTATGATAGCAACTAGTTCGCAGCTCTACAACTAGTCTGAAGGTCTGATGGCAACTAGTCTGGAGCTATGAAAGCGGCTATGAGGAGCTCTGAAAATAACTAATCTGGAGACCTGAAAGCAAATAATCTGGAACTCTGAAAGCAGCTAATCTTGAGTTCTGATAAGCAACTAATCTGGATGTCTGATAGCAGCTAGTTTAGAGGTCTGAAAACAGCAAGCCTGGAGATCTGAAAACAACTAATCTGGAGGTCTGATAGCAGCTAGTCTGGAGACCTAAAAGCAGCTAGTCTGGAGATCTGAAAGCAGCTAGTCTGGAGGTCTGAAAGCAACTAATCTGGAGATCTGAAAGCAGCTAGTCTGGAGGTCTGAAAGCAGCTAGCCATGATCTCTGAAAGCAACTATTCTAGAGGTCTGAAGCGTCTAATCTGAAGGTCCAAAGCAACTAAAATTGAGGTGCGAAAGCAGTTTACAAAGTTCATAACAGAAATATAAACAAATTGTTTGAGATAACGGTGTGCATGGGAACATATTAACAGAAGAGGTGGATTTAGGAAAAAAGTCTTGTCTAAGCAAATGGAGGCAGAGGAGGAAGCAGGAAGGTGTCTGGAATGCCTGAACAGCTGGTAGTAATAAACAATAAGCCAGACTGACTTTCTCAAAATATCAGATGACTGGGAGGATTGGGGAGCTATGACCACCAGCTTCTGCTCCAGACAGAAACATAAGGAAGAATAGTAAAGAATGCAAGAAGTTAAGGAATGTTGCTTTAACACAAGATAACTTTGTGAATGTAATGGCAGGCCATTTATCTGTTTATCTGTTTTATAATTAGTTAATTAAAAGAGCATACAAAGTATAATTTCAATGCAGCCACAGTGTCTGTGGAGTGAGACAGAAGTCAGGTTAGGTATTAAAAATAATAAATTACGGCACACAGAAGTCCTCTGTTGCGGATTTTGGAGGTTTCAAAATTTATTAACAAAAAACAATATTGATAAATATTTATAAAATATATAACAATAGGTAAAATCTCTGTACAGTTGTATATAAATAAACATTTACTTAGACCTGCAAAACCCTAAAAGTACTTGGCATACCATATTATGTTCAACCCACAAAAAGGTAAACTAAGAAAGTTCAATTCAAATTTCAAGCATATAATACAGTTCTGAAACATAAAAGTAAGCACACTCAATCAATTCTATGGTTTGGTCATCTCATTAGAATGCAAGAGGAACAACCAACATGGGCACTCCACTTAAAACAGGTCTGATGTGAGAGCAAGAGGGCGTCCATGACAATCGTTAGTGTCATCCATCAATCGTGGATCCACAAACTGTCTTCCCACAATGTTTAATGGTAAAAGTGGAAGGTGATGATGATGAATCAGTTCTTTAAAACATTCCACTAATCTGTCAACAGGTTGTGAACAAAATCAAACGATTAATCAAGAAATCTGATGTATGCAGTTTCCAAATAACATGCAAGCTTCTCTGCTGCACCCATATCCAGAGTGCAAAGTGATGAGAATTTGCCTGAAAATTTACAAAACTTAACACGAACATGCAATACCCAAACACAAAGAAGAGCGACTATTTACCTAGAGACAGGGATCTCATTTGCTTTCTTGACTTTCTGTTTACTTTTCTGTTACAACAACAAATCAGGGGTAAATATTCAGCAACATAGATAATACCCAGCAGATACAGATCAACTAGTTGCTACATATACATGCAAATAAATATGCTGCTATACATATACATACACACATATTTAAATTATGTCAACAAACAACTTGTTAGAAACCTGCTCAATTTATCAATTAACATTGGTAGCTGACAACACTACATTTCATAGTAGCAAAATAATTTCTAGCAAACCTGAGCTCACCTAATTTTCCAAATACAACCAGACAACAATGTTTCCGTGGTGACAGTCTACAGATCAACAGACAGCTCAGATTTACAAATTTAAGTCTGCTTCAGCATGTTTGATAATTCAGTAGTTAATAAGTAAATATTACACATGTGTATGTTTGAAAATCCACTAGTTGTTACTAGGGCTGTACCGAATATTCGCTTTGTATTCGCTTTGGGGCCGAATAGTGGACCTATTGACTATTCAGTCCCCCGTGTGGGTTCCGGGGCCCCATTGTGGGAAAACAAGAATAGACCCACTGCCTCCCCAAAAGCATGTCGTAAGAGTCAACTAATTGGGGAGCTTCCTTTGAAGTCGGAGTGCATCTGCCGGAGAGGCAAGGAACCAACAGTCTGTATTCAAGAGAATGAGATCTGTAAAACTGATGAACACGCAACACTCAGGTTCTCTAGCAGGACTGCAGTTCAGTAGTGGACGAGCAACCAGAACCTGCCGCCAGAGTTTACAGCTGGTGAATGCGAAGAAGAAGAAGAAGACTATTCATTATTCAGCCGAATAGTTGCGGTCGGACCAAATACGAATAGTAGTTACCTTACACCCACTTCTGCATACACGGCCTTAATACTGACAACATGGAACGATTGGTTTTGTTGAAAGTTAATGCAGCTTTTATGCATTAACTAAGCTGTCAGTGACAATTTTCAATTTTAGTTACTTGGTATAATACTTAGGATTCTTTCATTCCTATTTATTAGTTACCACAGACTGACTGAAGGATGCAAAACATAACGTTTTTAAATGTTTAATATTCTGTACGAATACTAAGTATACATGGAAAGAATATAAACTCTGGCCACATCCAAGTTGATAATATGAAAAGCAAACGAGGGGAAACATAAGTACTTGAGTGCAAACTTCAACTGCTCCAACATGCTGAGAGAAGAAATACAATCTAGAATACAATCTAGAAATAAAGTATACTATGCCCTTCAACATCTGCTAAAGTCAAAGTGTCTGTCTCGCAACACCAAGATCAAAATATATAAAATGTTGATAAGACCAGTCGTTTTTATGGCTTTGAAACTTGAAGCAAAAATAAAAAAGATGAGACCTTATTTCAGGTTTTCGAAAACAGTCTTACGACAAATCTTTGAACCCATCAAAGATGCTAACAGCGGGGAATGGAGAGTGAAAAGCAACAACGTAACACATAATCTGTTTAAATCACTATTGATCACTGGCATCATGAGAACTAAAAGACTAAAATGGTTGGGGCAGACTGAAAGAATGTCAGATGACAGAGAAGTAAAACTGTATGCACCTGAGAGATGAATGGGCGTAGACCACGAGGCAGACAAGAAAGAAGTTCGAGAGATAATGTCCAGCCAAACCTGCAAACAACTAGTGTCCCAAATTGTGAAGAGAAGGCCAGCCAGAGAGATTAATGGAGATGAGTGATATCTGCAGCAGTAAACCTCAAGGGCTTAGAATGCAAAAGAAGAAGATGACTATTCTGTGCTACTTTATGTGAAGTAAAAGTTCAGTGTACATTTGACATTATGAATGTTTTTTTTTTAAATAGATATATCTTATACACTATACACTATTCGTATTCGGCCAAATAGTTGGTCCCGTTATTCGTATTTGGCCGAATTGTGAAAATTACTATTCCATACAGCCCTAGTTGTTACGTTAAGAGTTATGATCTTAGCTGAAAACTTAACACCCTGTCACACAAAAAAAAATTTTTAAATGTTTTAACTATTAGGCCAATGAAGAGTAAATAATGAATGTGAAATGTTAAGAAGGACAAGACTTTCTTCTTCTCTTTTTCTGTTTATCAAAGGTGAAGGTATGAAATAGTTCTGGAACACACTAGTATGTGCCTCATCATAATCGCCAGGTGCCTTGCCGACTGGCGTGGGCAATCATGCCTCTCCACAATCCGCAATCATGCACCTCATATACACTGAATTAGTCAAAGATAACTAGTGGCTCTTCAGAAAAGTGACCATGTAGGTCTGCCAACAAACTAAAACAGTCAGGTGCCTCTAAGTCAGGGGTGGGAAACCTTTATTTTTTTTGGGGGGGGGAGGGGGGGGGGGTTGTGCGCTATAACTTAGAATTACCAATCTGGTAATAGCTTTTTCGTGAATGGAGGAATGGGAATTAAAATGTTGAGTGTTGCAGACAGTTGCTTGAGGATACATTTAAATGCACATTAAAAAATAAAAGTCTTAGGTGGGGCATATTGAACTGGCAACACTGCTTGTAGGGATTGCTGATAGCTGTAGTTGGTTTTCATATGGGTTGTGGGAGGGGGTTGCTGACAGTGGTGGATGGGTTTTGTGTGGGTTGTGGGAGGGGTTGCTGACAGTGGTGGATGGGTTTTGTGTAGGTTGTGGGAGGGGTTGCTGATAAGGGTGGCTGGGTTTTGTGTGGGTTGTGGGAGGGGTTGCTGACAGTGGTTAATGGGTTTTGTATGGGTTGTGGGAGGGGTTGCTGATAGAGGTGGCTGGGTTTTGTGTGGGTTGTGGGAGGGGTTGCTGACAGTGGTAGTTTTGTGGGTTTTGCTGTGGGTGGGTGTGGGGTTGGGGAGGGGTTGCTGACAGTTAATGGGTTTTGTGTGGGTTGTGGGAGGGGTTGCTGGTGGTAGTTGGGTGTTTGTGGGAGGGGTGGGTGGATGGGTTGTGTGGGTTGTGTGGAAGGGTTGCTGACAGTAGTAGATGGGTATACTGGCAGCAGTAGCTGGGTTTTGTGTGGGTTGTGGGAGATGTTGCTGATAGAGGTGGATGGGTATTGTGTGGGTTGTGGGAGGGGTTGCTGACAGTGGTGGATGGGTATTGTGTGGGTTGTGGGAGGGGTTGCTGATAGAGGTGGATGGGTATTGTGGGGGTTGTGGGAGGGGTTGCTGACAGTGGTGGATGGGTATTGTGTGGGTTGTGGGAGATGTTGCTGATAGAGGTGGATGGGTATTGTGGGGGTTGTGGGAGGGGTTGCTGACAGTGGTGGATGGGTATTGTGTGGGTTGTGGGAGGGGTTGCTGACAGTGGTGGATGGGTTTTGTGTGGGTTGTGGGAGGGGTTGCTGACAGTAGTAGATGGGTATTGTATGGGTTGTGGGAGGGGTTGCTAGCAGTAGCTGGGTTTTGTGTGGGTTGTGGGAGATGTTGCTGATAGAGGTATGGGTATCTGTGGGTTGTGGGAGGGGTTTGCTGACATGGTGGATGGGTTTTGTGTGAGGGTTGCTGACAGTAATAGATGGGTTATGGGTTGTGGGAGGGGTTGCTAGCAGCAGTAGCTGGGTTTTGTGTGGGTTGTGTGAGGGGTTGCTGATAGAGGTGGTTGGGTATTGTGTGGGTTGTGGGAGGGGTTACTGACAGTGGTAGTTAGGTTTTGTGTGGTGGTTGTAGGATGGGTTGCTAGCAGCGGTAGCAGGGTTTTGTGTACATTGTGGGAGGGTTTTCTTTTTCTTATCCACGAAGAAAGCATTTGGCTAGGACAAATATATCTGTCTCATCCATGAAGAAAGCATTTGGCTAGGACAGATATATCTGTCTCATCCACAAAGAAAGCATCTGGCTAACACAAATATATGTCTTATCCACAAAGAAAGCCTTTGGCTAGGACATTTATATCTGTCTCATCCATGAAGAAAACATTGGGCTAGGACAGATATATCTGTCTCATCCGTGAAGAAAGCATGTGGCTAGGACAGACATATCTGTCTCATCCATAAAGAAAGCATTTGGCTAGCACAAATACATCTGTCTCATCCATGAAGAAAGCATTTGGCTAGCACAAATATATCTGTCTGATCCACGAAGAAAGCATTTGGCTAGGATATATATATATCTGTCTTATCCACAAAGAAAACATTTGGCTAGGACAGATATATCTGTCTCATCCATGAAGAAAGCATTCGGCTAGGACAGATATATCTTGTTTTATCCACAAAGAAAGCATTTGGCTAGGATAAAACCACATCAAACACACCCCTCCCCCTCCCCCACCCACACACACACGTCTTTTTTTTTTTAATCGCTGTGATACTGGGTATAGGCAACCAGAAAATATATACTAAAAGCTATAAGTGACTTGAGTGTGTGGGGGTACATCTTTTGATGAATTTTCCTGATTACGACTGTGTGAGTGGGAAGTGAAGTAGAGAAGAATCCAGGAGCACCCTTAGCTGAGCTGCCACCAAGGACCCAGTGTCTCAGGTGCTGACCCCTACTAGGATGTGGGCAAGTGTCTAGAAACCAAGATATATCTGGCCAAGTGGTTAAACCTATTTCACCCCTACTAGGATGTGGGCAAGTGTCTAGAAACCAAGATATATGTGGCCAAGTGGTTAAACCTATTTCACCCCTACTAGGATGTGGGCAAGTGTCTAGAAACCAAGATATATCTGGCCAAGTGGTTAAACCTATTTCCTTCATGCTGTGAAAATTATGGATTTTATTTCAAATGTTACTCATCAGTTCAAAAGTGCAGATGTTTATAACAACCCCAGTGGTTATGCCAGAGCTGCACAGTTTGTGCTTTGTGCAACACTCTCTGCAGGTGACCAGCTGCTTTACAGAGAGAGAGAGAGAGAGAGAGAGAGAGAGAGAGAGAGAGAGAGAGAGAGAGACCAAGCCTTATGGGATAAAAGTGAAAAGAAGTTGATCCCTTTGCCATTAAACACAAGGTCTAGCTGCTATCCCCTAAGCCCTGCAGCCTTGATGCCATACTGATCACAGTCAACACCCACACCCTTAAATTCTGCTGGGAGAGACTAAGCTTGTTTAGGCTCATCCTGATTACTTTTACATTGATTCTTCATCACAATCATACTTTAAAATAAATCTAAAAGTTCTGTGCAACCAAGTGAAACTAAAAAGCTACAACTTTAACTTAAAGTAAATATGAAGCAATAGTAGGAATTTAAACAAAAGAATTAAGCATGCATACCCGTGGAGTCTTCTGCTGCTGTCGGGAAACTCTGATGGACATGAAACGTTTGAGTAAGCAGCATCATGGTTTCAGATTTTAAACTATGGAATAACACGACTGGATTTTCTTTCATTTTTTTTTTAATAGTCAGGAAAATATCACTTCAATTTAAATTTATAATCACTTCAGAAAAAGTGCAGACTACTGGAATCTTTCTTTTAGAAAAATTTCATATTTACTAGATAAACTCTTCTTTAGGAAAAAACAATTTTACTAGGCACTTTATGTTTAACATTGACAAAATACCAGGCTATCCTCCAAATAACGGGCACAAAAGATGGCGGCCGCAAAAACACCCTAACAGAGCCTCAGTCACGTGTCAATTGCGCACTTCCTGCGACTTAATTTGTGGTTTTCCGGTGACTGCTGCCACCGCCGAGAGTATCCCCCAAACTGGGACTCACGAGCAGCAGCTTCCGCATCTCCTGCAGCTTTGCTCGTGAGTCCCAACCATCTAGATTAGTCCCAATCCAGGCTGCATGAGCGGCATGGGGGACACTCTCGGCACCAATTTGTATCGGTTCTAATATTCCTCTTTTAATAATGCCTCCGCCAAAAAAAAAAAAAGAGAATCAAATGGTATGACAGAATCACTGATGTAGAGCTCTGGAAAAGTACTAAATTAATTTCAATGAATCAAGAGGTGAGGAAAAGATGCTGGCACTTGATGAGACACACATTGAGAAAAACCTAAAAACAATAAAACTAGAATAATCTTTTACTATAAACCACAATGTTAAAGAAGATAAAAAACTGAAACACAATAACAGAAGACAGGAGGACTTGATGAATAATGGGGCAAAAAAAGTAGAAAAAGAATATTCTTCTAAAGAGGTAACAAACTGCTGGTTATAAATGTTTGCAAAATCACAGCCCGAACAATTCACTGTGTTAATGATAATCTTTAATCAGAACAAAATAAATACTAGGAAAATGTTCAGAGTTAAACAACAAAAACTGTAATCAATTTGGCAGAGAGGTTTTGTTAAGTTCAGAAGACTGACTACATCTTTGGCGAAAAACAGCTGAACTGTTCTCCTAGCTTTACAATGAGAGGACAATTCTCACACAGTGCATGCTTCAAGTTACTATGTAACCATCAGTCGTCCCAATAAATGAGACTGAACAGAGTTTATGAGATTTGTACCAATTTGACTCTCATCCTTAAGCGTGCAGTTCTGGTCGGGACAAACTACCTACCTACCTGAGAGATATAAATATGAGCCACGAGAAAAGAACCAGTGTAGAAATTTCTTTTTGTACTGAAGAAATATTATGAACACGAAGCAAGAGGAAGACCACACAAAAGACAGGAAGAAAAAAATCAAGAACAACTTTACAGAAATGAAGAACAAGTTTTACAATGCATTAGGAAGTGCACACAGATGACCCTCACATCTCCTTCAGCATTTTGCCAAGACAACTAGAAATACAAGAAGATTCAGACGTAATATCAATGTTAGGCTGGAGAAAACAAAGAATCACTATGCATAAATAAGACCAAAAACATAAATACGAAAAAAAAAAATTTCAATAACTCTGAAGCTTTTATGATGATGTATAAGTACAGGGGAAGCCACAGTTGTACAGTGGATATTACATCTGCCTATAAGCCTAGTAGTCATGTTTTAAAAGTGGAGATTTTTTCCTTAAATTTAACATGAGTTTAGGTGTTGACTCAACATTAAATGGGCTACCCGGAAGGAAGTTTCCTTGGAGGTAAAGGTGATTAATATATTATTTACATGACGATTGATTTAAACAAATATGAGATCTTTATTTTGTTTACCAACTCACGATGTAAAGAAAAAACACAGACACTCTGTTTCCATACGAATAAAATGTGAACGGTATTAACAAAATACATTCCAATTCATGCAAAGCTTTGTCTTATGGCTGCAGTTATAAGAATCAAAGCATTCAATATGGGCATGCAAAAGATATCGTCATAGACGGTACTCCCTCTGTGTGTCCTAGGGAGGAAAAGAGGTGGCAGGGAGGGTGGGGGTGGACAGACACTGCCTCCAAAAAGCAAGTTGTAAAAAGTGACCATTTAGGAGAGTAATGAAATCAGATGTGCTGGGCCAAAACAGGAAGAAGAACAGGATAGACATCACAAAGGTGACCAACTATATAGAAATGTCAACAACTGTTATATTATATCAGTTCTACACAAGAAACATCTATAGATTAAAAATAATGACATCATCTCTGAATTTTTTTATATATATTTCTGTATCAATAATCTGAAGTATCTGAGGGAAGCATTCACCATGCAATTGTTAAACAAGGCTTTAAATGTGAGGAAACATCAAGGAATACATTGCAAGCAAATATAAGATATTACAATATAATGTGATAAATGAAATTACTTGACAATTGTGATGTGTGTGTGTGTGTGTGCATGCGTGTGTATGTGTGTGTGTGCATGTTTTTCTGCGTTTGTGTATATCATGACAGTCTCTGTCTTGAAGATGTGGATCTTATGTTTTATTTTTTCCCATATTGTGCATTTATTTAATTTTGCAACAGTTTTCAACTATTTATTTTTATAAGTTTAAACAAACGTATGAACAGGTCGCAAAAGGAATAACTTACGGTCTTGATTCAACATCATCACTTTCCAGTAAGCCTGTCTTGCTTGGAAGTCGGCCTATTGTAAAGAATAATTTATCAGATGAGGAAATGTTAGCAAGCAAAGGAAGTCAAGCAGTCACCATTATCAGTATCAGCGCCACTTCTGTTTCATAAATCTTTCGTTCATTATTCACTACAGATCATCTTCATCACAGAACGGACATAACCATAAGTACTTCCATCTCCTCCTGAGTATGTCTCCAAGTGTTTTTAGGCTAACAACTCCCATTCTGTTCTGGTTGATGTAACGACAGGTGGCTCCTGCATGGTTTTCCATGTTTTGCAGCTCCAGTTGATACACCCGAGGTATGCAGTCTATTTAGTGAAAAATCATTTTCCATAAAACTGAAAGCTTCACAGCGTCTAGTCTCTCATATGCCACTGATGATGTCTTTCCTGTCCCATTATTGATAGTTGCACTGCCAGCCAGGAAGTCTGTTCTCTCATTGCCTTTCAAACCAGCATAACCTGGGACAAAAATGATGGTGATTTTGCAAAACGTTGCCTGCTGAATCAGATAGAGCCACTGTTTCTGTATATGTCCTGCGTTCATATGCTGTAGCATGCTCATTGAGTTGCTGAAAAAGCATGCAATGCTGAATTCCTGAGTTTCCGTCCATTCAAGGGCTTTTGTCACAGCCATGACCTCCATTTTCATGCCGCTGGTTGTAGAAGCAAAGGCTTCACTGTCTTCTTTGATGACTTTGATCTATCTTGAATATCTCCAGCATCATGGATTACAAAATCAAACTTAACATTGTTCTTAAAGACATATTTCTACTTATTCCTCCAAAACTTTCTACATGCTTACCTATGTAAATGTTTATAGACTCCGACTTTGCAATGGCCGTCAAAAACTCATAGAATGAAATGTAAGGTACAATAAAAAGAATCTCCTTTAGACAGGCCAATGGTGGTGTGCTGGAACAAAATTTAATAAAAATAATTTATAAATGTTTGGTTTGTTAAATTACTAAAGAGTACTCTTTACATCAATCAACCAATCAATTAAATGCTATTTCAATAATGGAGTTTGGTTGCAGCTGGTCTCCAGTATATTGTCTCTCTTTTGGCTATACACTCTCTCTGACTACTGTTGATTCCTCTCTTTATGATTCCCCCCTCCTAACCCCCTTGCATGCTGCCGACCTCTTGCTCACCTGCTCTTTCCTTCCAGTATGGTGTTTAAGTGTGCTATGTCTTTTAATGTGATCAACATATTTCAGTTGTCTCTTTTTTACTCCTTTCAACAACTCTTTTCATTTCCCATCTCTCCAAAACCTCTGCAATATATTGTTTTTGGTTCCATAAAACAGACCCATTCATAAGTGTTTCCACATTTCAACGGCCTCAGTTTTGCCTTCTAATTGCTTGTTCCTTGTCCAGATTTCTAAACCATATAGCAGGATTTAGAATACATATTTTTATTACAATTGTCACTCTTGATTGTGATATTGTCAAGCTGCCTAGTTCTACATCTTGTTTGGTCTGATAATTTTGATGGTGCTATTCTATTGTTTATTTCTGCCAAACTTCTGCCATGATTAGTTTTTACATGGCAAAGATAAGTGCAGGACCTTATTTACTATCTATGCTGCCCCTGTGAAGTCATTTAATTGACAACCTTTTCTCCCCTTAGCTAAACTTCAGAATCAACTCTACTGAATCATTAAACTTGTTGAAAACACACTGCAGCTTCAGTGCTGATTCCGAGGTACCTGGTTATATTCAACCTGCAGATGAATTGACAGCAAACCACTTTGCTTTACTTTCAACAATGGTATTGAGAGCTGAACATTCAGTAAGCAATGGCAAACTACTGAACGTAAAATTGCCTAGTGAAATGGCAAAAAGCTAAAAAAAAACAAAATGCAGCGGTTAGTTCCGCATCAGCCTGTAAAGGTCACACAACTAACTTAGTCATGGCACACCACCTCACGTGAACACCAGTATCTTGGATCAGGTCTGAGTTCTTGTTGCAGCCATGCCATGTGGTTAGGTTGTATAGCTATTTATCTTTTTGTCTTTCCCTAGCTCTTTCGTCATCTAATTCGCCAGATATCACAAAGTTATGCATTTCATTTCTCGTTATAACAAGTCCAAAAATGTGTGACATCTAATTTATGACTGAGATACTAACCTGTAATCAGCTCTGTTGAGTAACGGGTAGATGGCTCTAAACAACTGCATGGCATCCACTCCATCTGTCGGCTGATGGGTGCTCTTGTGCACAGCAGCATCGTTGTCACCGGAAGTGGGGACAATGACAGGGTCGCGTGGACTGTTGATGGTTTGTAGCAGGCCTTGATAGATCTCATTAGACTTGGCTAAAAATTCTGTAGTATAGAGTTGGCACATATCAGCTAATTGTTTTTTTTTTATTTTAAACTGACATGCTCTACTTTGTAATACACATAGCTCCCCTTGTGTAGCTTCAGAGGGCCCATGATAGGGAAAAGGAGGAGGGGGGGTGAGAGAGATCTGCTGCTCCTTAACAAGCATGCCATCAAATAGGGCTAATTAAGGACTTGATGAAACCGAATGTGTTCGGCTGAAAGGCATCAACATTGCAATCCAACTGTGAACCATTATCAAATGTGGCAACCACAATTATAAAACATGGTACAAGAGTCCCACAGAACATGCCATAATGAGATTCTATTGTGTTACTTCTCAAGTCTTTTTTTTTTCAATGGCTGTCTTGGTAATGTGTGGGTTTGTCATTCTACTTTTTCTAAACTTCCACAGCTGAAATAAGTGTGTGTGTAAGTGCGCATACGTGTATGTTTTATATGTGTGAAATCAGTTGTCTCATTTTCACAACTGCAAGTGGAAAATGGGCAAACTCTGGGTTTGGTTTTTGCTACTAATGCCTTTTTCTGTCTACTCTCTTTTAAAATGGAGTGGACAAGGAATAGATGTATAATAAATGTATGTATAAGTGAGCAATCTAAAAACGGATGGTTACAGTTATGAAAAGTTGAATGGATAGTTATTTTAATAAAAACTGGAGAATGAATTTTAGTGTTTGGCAAATGACAAGAAAACTTATTAAACTTGTGAGTGATACAAAAAAAATATGAAACAATACATACCTTCAAAATAGAACTGAACTTGAAAGGCATAGACAAAATCCGAGAATGAAATCAGACAATCCAAGGCATCATCGATGAGTACAATTCTAGGGAGATAACAGACAAAAATAACAGGAATACAATAGCATTAAAACATTATATGGTGCAATATGGTCTACAAATAACTGCACCACTAGCTAAAAATCTTTGTACTTATTCAAAAATTGAAACAAAATTTGTTAAGAGCTGCCAAAAATTACCAATTACTGCCTTTATGATACCACTTTTGAGGTGTAGGCTGGGATTTCTTTGAGCCTGAGGATTTAGGGCCGCATGGCTAGCGCTGTCACCACGGACTGTGCAGGTGAGAATTTAATTCTGCCCTGACAGAAAAAATCCACACCTTACCAAGGATTAAAACCTGGGTATCCTGCAAGAGAGCCCAGCATTCTAACCATTCAGCCAGCCACTCCTCGTGTTAAGAGCTAAAAGAACAAATTTGAAAATAAATGTTCAGAGTTAATATGACAACGAGAGACAAGATCAGAAATGATGGAATCTGTGGCAGATGGGCACAGTGTCAGCAATGGATTGATCAAAAGGCCTAGAGTCAAATGGTTTGGCCTGTTAGTTAGACTACTGCCAAATATTTACTTACAGATATAATGGAAACAGAGCAAAAGGAAGACCTGAGGGATGTGCATGACACTGGAATGAGTGGTCACTGTGAGTAGTACACAGAAAGGTTCTGACCAGAAAGCTCTTTCTAGCCTGAGGCTGAAAGGGATAACAAAAAAAAAAAAAAAAAATTAAACAAATATTATTTTGCTATAGTATTACTGAACTTGACTGAACATTTTCATCTTTGAGGCAGCCATTTAATGGTCTGTGTGTGAAGTGTCATGTTCAAAAGTACTGGTTCATCAGTATCGGATTTTCTCTAACTCAGACGGATGGGGAAGGGTGAGAACACAAATAAAAAGTTCAGGAGGTATGAACTTGTAAGAAGGAAAATGCGAAAGGTGGTGCTAGGAACTAAAACTGGTTTGAAATTTTTATAACTTCCTTTTAGAAGGGACAGACCCCTGTGTGGGTTACAGGGCCCCATTGTGGGGGAAGACAAGAATAGACCAACTGCCTCTCCAAAAGCATGTCGTAAGAGTCGACTAATTGGGGAGCTTCCTTTGAAGTCGGAGTGCATCTGCCGGAGAGGCAAGGAACCAACAGTCTGTATTCAAGAGAATGAGATCTGTAAAACTGATGCACACGCAACACTCAGGTTCTGGAGCAGGACTGCAGTTCAGTAGTGGACGAGCAACCAGAACTTTCTGCCAGAGTGTACAGCTGGTGAACGCGAAGAAGAAGAAGAAGAAGGGACAGAAATTAGCTGAAAATTTAAACAGTGATCCTTACAGGCTGAAAATTCTAGCAATGATCCTTAAAGGCCGAACATTCTAACAGTGATCCTTACAGGCCAAAAATTCTAACACTGATCCTTAAAGGCTGAAAATTCGAACAGTGATCCTTACAGGCTGAAAATTCACAGAAAGGGAAATATCCTTTTCATGCCTTAGATGCACAGTGCTAGACCTATATTTCTATAGACTGTTCAAATGGATGATGTGGTCAACATCGCGCTGGCTGTCTTGACTTTCCAGCATTTTACCTGGAACCCATTTTATGCCGGGTCAACCTGGAAGCCAAGGTCCATTTTGAAAACAACATGCCTCGATGCAGATTTGAACCCTAGATCTTTAAGTCGATATGCGAATGTATAGCTACTACTCTACTGCAGCTCCCAGAAGTTAACAATTTCATGAACAAAAATTATAACCATAAATTTTAATAAATGAAAAGAGACACGCTAATTTTTCTTACAGTCCATCCTGTGTAGCATTGGTCATCATGTATGTACATGGTCTCTGTCCTCTGTGCTGCAAATCATTTCTGATACAGATGGTCTTCCATGTTATCAGTTTGTCTAACCCCTCTCTTAGTCTCATACTGCCTATATTCTCTTGTGATTTTCTTTTTGCTGCGTCTTCTTACTCCAGTTTTCCTCTTCTCATAACGAAATAAGATGGAGTAACTTCTGATGTGGAAAATTAGTTCTCTTTATGAGTTCATTTATTTCAAAACATTTCCACTATGCTTTATATCAAGCCATGACATTCTCAACATGTTTTTTTTTAAACCATGTTCCTGCCCTTCCACATAATTTCTCATTAACCTGCTGACTTTCCATGATCCCACACATAAAGACTGGCTCCATATAGCACTTAAACTCTCTCACCTCAATCGGAACAGACATACTTCATAGAATATTATTCATTCTGTAAAATGTAATTTTGACTAGACTAATCAATATTTTACTTTTTAAAAATACATCCCTCAAATGTTATTATCAGAGCATCAAAACACCTGAATATTTTCATTTGGTTCAGATTTTTCCAATTTACATTTGATGATGCATTCTGGTGGACACTATTCTTCACAATTATCATTACTTCTGATTTTTCTCTATTTTTTCTTCTTCTGTGCGTTCAACAGCTGTAAACTCAGGCAGAAAGTTCTGGTTGTTCATCCACATCTGGACTGTAGTCCTGTTCCAGAACCTGAGTGTTGCACATAGGAGAGCAAGTGCATGCAGGCACAGACACACGCATGCATACACTGGCATTTACAAAGTGACAAGATTTTTGTTTTTCCATGTTTATGGACACACTTACACAAATATTTTACACAGATAACTTTTATGATTTTATAAGAGAATGGTAACAGCAAAAAAGGAACATGAAAACAGTTGCAACATTAAGAGATAGGAAAACAGTAGCAACAAGCAGACACATGAAAACAATGGCAGGTTAAGAGATATGTAACCATCAAATGTGTTAAGAGATATATGAACAGTAGCAGCAAACAGGTTCATGAAAAATTAGCAAATTTTGAAATAGGACCCAAAAATAGTAGCAGTATTAAGGGATAGGAAAGCAGTAGCAGCAAGAGGAGATATGAAAAACAAATACACTGTAAATTATTAAAAAAAAAAAAAAAAAAAATACCTGGCAATATTCTGCACCATCTGAAAGGGAAAATCTGGACAAAGAAGACCGAGAAGTGAATGATACTCTTGAATACTCAACAAATCTGAAGAACAAAATTAAGATGTCATTAGGTAAACAGTCTGCTTACTAGAAAAGAATTTTTCAGTACATATAAACTGAAGAAATCAGAGAAAATATAGATCTAGAAACATTTCTATACAGTAAAAACTTGTTAACGCAAATAACAAGGGACCCAAAAAAATCAGTTTTGTTAACAAGTTTCAAGCTAACTAGGACTGCAGATATATTATAAATGATACATCTCGGCTGGGATCAATATTTTTTTCATGTAAACCAAGTGTTTGTCCTAAACAAGTTCATGTTATCAGGGTTTTACTGTACTTTGTATTCCTAAATGAAAAATCTAGAAAGTATCCACACACAAAAACCTCAGTATCTTTTTAAACAAGTTCTTTGCAAAACTTCCGTTCTAAGAAGGAAAGTTCTCACAGCCCATGCTGTGTTAAAAAATCATGTATGTCCAAACTTCTGTCTCATGTACAGTCTATCATCTTCAATGACTTCAGACCAGAAGGGCTGATAGCCGACCGACTGCTGATGCCATGACAATTTATTTGTTTCCAGCTAGGTTTTTCTGAAGCAAATTCCCCATTTCTGGACCAGGAGTTCAAGAGTTCCATCTCCCAGCTACTGAACTAAGGGCTAGAAGCAGTCTATTTCATATGGAATGTTTTATTGGGTTGTGCTCATCTCGTGTTGTTGATTGCACTAAAATGGAGGGTGGCTGATAACATTTAGATTCTATGTTGTTTTTTTTTGCGAGTGCAATACCAGTTTTCGTGACTAACCATTTATGGCAACAATGAGCTGTAGTTCTGGTGTGGCACTGTCAGTGTTGGCACATAATATAGCCTCATGCATTTTTATTTTGTGGGCGGCAAGCTTCAGGATTTTGCTTGGGCTGATACATTTTTACTGGTTTTAAAAGGAGACAGCGGAGAACATTTTGTGTGATTTCTACTGGCACAGGAATGGAGCAGTTATGAGGTGACCTGTCTGCACTGATGCTGGAATACTGACTAATGACTAACTAACGACTCATCTCTAATACAGATGTTCTTTCTTACAATAATACCAAATGTCAAGAATCTTTTCTTCTGGTCTCCAGCTACCTTTCTTCACATCCAAATGCCCTGTTATATTATCAAATGTTCTTCAATATTCACCTCTATCACAACATGTCTAAAAAAACTGTAGACTGTCTTCATCTTATGCCTGTAATAAGTTGTCATCATAAGTTAATTTCTTTCAAGACATCTTAATTACTATTTTATCTTTCTAGTTCCAGCTTACAAAAGATTTAAAAAAGATAAAAGTGAGCATACTTTGGATCTTTTCTCCAGTCCATGTCGGCGTGGTGAGTAATGAACAGGCAGACAGATTGACTGGATCTGCACTCCTGGGTGGTGAATTGATGCATGACAAGGCAGATGTGGTCAAGGCCCTTTAGGGAACAAGCAACGGAATCAGCAGAGATAGAAGATTATTATGGCCTGGAGAGAATGAGGCATCTGGGTGTAACCAGAGGGTCTGGCCTGCTCACTACACTCAGAGGAAAGGCAAGACGGGCATATAACCAGATTGTGACAGTACCATCAGTATTGGAACTCTGCATTGGCTGCTGAAGATACGGGTTGCAGCATTCATGGGAATGCCCCAAGTTCTGTGATATCAATTCTTGACTCAAATCAACTCATCTTTCTTGGTGTTTTCACCATTCTTCTAAAAAAATTACATGCCAGCAAGCAACTCTCATATTATGTGTCCTGCCAATGACAATAAGTGCACCATCCCACATGATCACTAGAATAACAGATCAGGTCAATGTTCTTGCCCTGTCCCGTCCATGTAATCAAACCATCCATGTACATATATTTCTTTCTTTCCCTTGTTCTTTTCCATTATTCTTGTCAGTCATCACCAAGTTTTTCAGTCCATTTCTTCACAAACCTGTTCAAAAAATTATCAACTATGTCTGCAAAAATTTAAAACAGGGACAGAAACAAATAGCCCTGCAAATAGGAAGCTTATTGTCTATGTTACATAATCACACCTACAAAAAGGTTCCTTTATAAAGTCTAATAAAGATGTGTCAATTTTCCATATATATCCCCAGGTATGTATTCATATTTAACGGCACAAGTTGTAGACACAATAATCTCTGCAAAATGTGAGTAAAAGCTATATATTTCAAAATCTAATATTTCCACAAACTATATGAAAAGTAAGAAAACAATATGACTTCCAAAGTAGCTTGACAAATACTTCTTTTTTTTAATTATTCTGAGACACATTTATATGCCTCCACAGTATTAACTTATATTTATTTTCAGCTCACCTCCTTTCTTCCCAATTTGTTGAAAACATTTCCAGAATAAAACTACAAAAGACATTCTGTTGTATGGGGTGCTTTTAATATAAGCAAATTCTCTGAGCATCGTGTGCTGGCCATCTTGTAAACTACGAAAACTGAAAATATCAAAAGTGAGTCAATAAAAACACACAGATATAAATTGTAAATATTCTTACCTTAGAAAACTCTTCTAGATCATTAGGCAAAAGACCAAAATATATGATCAAAATTTCATGGTGACAGAAGCAACAAGAGAATGGTGGTTAGCCCACTTTTCTTCTTGTCAATATTCATGGGTTCAAATTCACAGTGAGGCAGATTTAAAAACTGACACAGGCTCTTAGACCTACTCAGCTTTAATGGATCGTAGGAAATAAAAATGGTTGGCTTGATGTTAACCACGTCACACATCAACTGCCAACTGGTCAATTAAATATATGGACAAGCACCAAATGCCTGATTTGGTGTGATTTGGACTAAAGCCCAAGACCAAATGCCTGATTTGGTGTGATTTGGACCAAAGCCAAAATGCCTGATTTGGTGTGATTTGTACCAAAGCCCAAGACCAAATGCCTGATTTTGTGTGATTTGGACCAAAGCCAAAATGCCTGATTTGAACCAAAGTCCAAAGACCAAATGCCTGATTTGCCTCAGGCATTAAGAAAAAAAAAAATCCCTTACTTTTATTCACACAATGAGAAATTGTTTACATTGATGTTAAATCTGTTTTTACAGGAGGCACTTGGATAAATTTGTAGCATTACTATATTGTAGCAAATAACAACACTTAAATTATGATATTGGGTACCATTGGTTGGGTGGGCTGGGAGAACTGTGATAATGGTTAAAGAAACAAAAGTTGCCAAACCAAGGAGACACAATGTATAATTACAGCTAAAAATATATTTTTTACCTCCAATAATGTGAAACAGAACATAAATCACCTATTTTGTGAGGCCAGTGTCATAAACCGCTCAACCACCTGCTCCTTCATTTAGTCTGACATTACAAAATAATAATGTATAAAAAACATCCAGTTTTCTTTTTCGTCTAGCCCTTATTTTCCACTGGAAGAGCATAGGCTCTAAAAAAAACACACACGTCAAGCCATCCTATCTTTTGCCATCAGCTACAGCTCCCTCTATGTCTTTCATGGCACAATCTAAAGACCATCTGACATCATATCCGCTTCACAAATCTGGCTTATGCATATGCAGACTACTGATTCCTCACCTCTCAGGCAAAGGCAATCCGACTTCAAAGGAAAAAACTTGTATGTGAGTTAACTTTTATGGCATGCTTGTTAAGGAATAGGTAGGTCTATTCTTTTCCCCTCAAAATGGGGCCCCGGCACCCACACTGGGAGGTCATGTGTTCAAAACACCTTCAAAATGTTTATTTCTTTGAACTGGAATCCCAGGTTGATACAGGCTAAAAAAACTGGTACCAGGAAATGTTCAAGGAAGTAAATGAGGCCAGTGTGACATTGACTACAACATTCAATGACAGTAAACTGATCTGAACATACACACCAGCATCATATACCATGAGATCCTGTTTTCTGAGAGGCATGCTATGGATACCATGTACAGCCAGACTGACTAACAACACTGCCTGGAAATGGCTAATAAATTTAGAAAACTATATACAACTACAAGAAAGAGGCAGTCAGTGTTCTTTGGTCATGTGAAGAGATGAAAGACCCTGAAGAATATTGTCCAGACTAGAAAGATCAAACAGTAAACAAGGCAAAGGCAAACTAAGAGAAATTATGTTTGATTGCCTGAAACAATGGCATGGAGGAATATAAACAGCAGAATTGATTCAGAATACCAAGGACTGAGGTTTGTGGAGAGACACGAGTGCCTATCCTGATGGGCAGGGCACATTATGATCATCATCATCATATACTCAATAAACATCACAGTGTGAAAGGGAGAGAGGTCCTTTACTTGTTACCTTGAAACATATAGGCATATTAGATCACAATATGAAATATTGTTAGAACAACACTAGGAAAACTTACTATTCACACAAAAATTGTGTGGGAACAACTTTAGGATTTTCTTCTCTGCACTCTAGTAATTGTGTGATGCTGTCCTCAAGGTAAGTCACAATGTGGTGTTTTGCTACATAAATATTACAATAAAGTCATTGTTAGTACAGTATAACATTACACTGAAATTTAGGAGGCAAATGCAGCTTGCATGTGATCTCTGTATTAAGTACTTATAATTCTGATAAAGCCAATGAAGATGTATTAAAGAAGTTAAATGACTTTCTACCCACATCACAAGAGACTATCTACATACTTTGGGCATGTTTTGAGAAGGGGATAAAACAAAGTACATCATGACAACAGGATATTTAAAAGGGAAGATAGGAAGAGGAAGACCAACATAAAAAAGATTATTTACAGTTTGGGATCATGATCTCATAATTGAATGACAGTTAAAAAAAAAATTTTTTTTTAAATAAATAGTTGCATATATTTAACAGAATGTTGCAGAACCAACTCCACCATTCTTTTTACTGTGATCTCACTAGACAATTTTATATTCAGTAGTTTTTCACTGCTTCGGAAACAATCAACTCTCGACAGAACGGAGGAAGATTTTCAGAAATGACTTGGGCTCCCAGGTTGATCATTTTTTAAATCCCAAAAACTGTCTGAAAAGTAAAGTCAACTAATGTAATACTATAATATCATCCTCTTAGTCCCTATTGGGTTACACAAATATGCGGTTAGAATTTTCAAATATGTGTCTGAAGATTGGAGAACTTATCAGAAATAGAGGCTGAATGCTATTAAGCTGATATAAAAAATGAATCTGATATACAAAATGAATGAACTAAACAAAAACTTGCAACAGGAAATATACACAGATGACAAGCAAACCTTTTAACTAGTTTTTTACCCAAAAAAATAGCCAAAATACATTACTAACGAAAAAAAAAATTATTCATTATCATCAACATGTGCTGGGCTGGTAAGTGTAGGCTGTCATGTTTCGCCATCTTACATGATCACCAGATGCATAGATCAGATCAATGTTTTTGTTTCCACCCCCCCCCCCCCCTCCTTCTTAATTTAGAAGTATACTATTCCTCCTAGTATGGCTTCCAGGACCCCATTTTTTTTTTTTTGGTGGGGAGAGGAAGAATAGACCCATTGCTCTTTAACAAGCACGTCATAAATTTAACTAATTAAAGATTTGCTAAAATTTGACATGTTTGGCTGAAAGGTGCAAATATCACAGCCTAGATGTGTAAATGACAACACAAAACATCAACCATTTCTAATATTTTGTTTTTCGCTTCAATCTTTGGTTGAAACATTTGCATGTTGTCTGTGTCTCCTTCCAATAAACTTCATGCAGAAATTAACCTGAGACTCTCCTGCTGAATCATCATCATCATGTTACAACTGGTTGTTTTTTTTAAAGACAATAACTCTCATCACAGTCCACTGGAAGATCTGTTGATGTTTTGTCAGTTCCACTGCTACAGACATTTTCTTAAATGTTACTAACTACACTGTGCTAGCTGCTGAAGATGGGAATGGGGTGCTTATGGGCAATGCCCTGAGTGCTGTTACATGACTTCTTAACTCAACTCAACACTACAGACTACATACAAATTGTCATCGTCATTGTCTTAAACCACATCTGCCATCAGGCGTTGTGAGGAAGAATAATGTGCGATCCAGTGCACGTTGACTGGCACTGACCATTGTTATGTTGTGATGGCGTAAAGTGTCTTTAATGTTGTCGATCTATTTTTTTATGGCCATCCTCTTGATAACTGATCTTCTGAAATGTAGTGTCTGTGATGTTATATGATGTTGCTGCATTGTTACGAGATGGCCAAACCATCTAATCTGATGTTTCTCAATGAATCAAGTTGCCCACAATCTGTCTAACAGTATCATTATTCATTTGATCTTGGATGGTTAGGTTGGTGGTTTTTCTAAAGCATTTATACAGTTATTTAGCATTTTCTAAAGCTACAATCAATTCTCCACACATTTGTGCACAATAAAAGTATATTATGCAGTAAACATAGAAGTAACTAACTTTCAATGATGCCTCCCTACTACTAGATATTGAGAAAAAGATTCTGAACCCTCTACCTCTCTCCCTTCTGTCCCATCCCCCCACCCCCCAGAAAAACATTTTTTACAATAACAAATCACTGTTTAAAAATACTTACCAAGGTATGCCTCCACAGTCATAGAAAAATTATCATTGTTTGCCAAAGACATTTTTGTTTTTGCACTGAAAGAGGAACATTGTCAGATGAATACAGTTGCTGTCAGCAGCATTATCAGGTACTGTGTAAATGGAACTGAAAGGATTTATCTAATAATGTACTGTGTAAATGGACGAAAAACAATGAACTAAACACTAAACTTGAACTGAAATTTAAAATAAATATTTATAACTTCTTTTTCTGCTTTCGACGTCAGTCATGCTAATCATTGAGTCCCGTCTGGGTCCAAAATAGGATTGTGCGTTTAAGGTCTCCACCGGTACCCCATAGCTTCTCTTGCAATGTGGATCCCCTGGGCCAGATCCACAGTCTTTGCTGGGAGAGGTAAGGGCAGCACTGCAGTATGTGCTCAGGGGTCTGTCTTTCTGCTCGATAATCACAGGCAGCAGATTCTTTTACGCCTATCTTGTAACTTGTAACTAAATTAACTAATCTGCAGACTGAAGATGTAAATATGAACTTCTGCTCTTTGTTTACATTGTTAATGTTACTCTTCCTTGAATTCTATTGTGAGGGTTCAAAATGGACAACTGGGGCATGAGTGGATACAAAGCATCACCACATCCAAATCACAGGAACTCACATGGACACACTGTCCAGGACATTCAGGAGTGCAAGGAAATTAACTAGTAGATGTGTGGGTTTAAAATCAAAGTTATAGGAACACTTATAGTGGACATACTGAAGGCCATTTAAGAACGAAAACAGATGACATATAACAAAGTTTGATAAAATAACATGTAAGGTTGTGGGAATTTGTAATTAAGTGCAGATCTGGCATGACATGACATGTGAGAGGAAGACTATAACATGTGTCTCCTGGTGTGGGTTCTTGGCTCCCATTCTGGGGGCGGGAATACAACGGCAACCAGGTCAGGTCACCCATTGGCTCACCAGTAGATGACCATCGCCGGTCAGGACAGTATCTGGGTCTGTCTTTGATCGCATTAACACTGCAGGAGACCTTTTCAGAGCTTTTGGTGGTGTACAATGCTAAAACATTTGATATGGTGTACAATGCTAAAACATTTGATATGGTGTACAATGCTAAAACATTTGATATGGTGTACAATGCTAAAATATTTGATATGGTGTACAATGCTAAAACATTTGATATGGTGTACAATGCTAAAACATTTGATATGGTGTACAATGCTAAAACATTTGATATGGTGTACAATGCTAAAACATTTGATATGGTGTACAATGCTAAAACATTTGATATGGTGTACAATGCTAAAACATTTGATATGGTGTACAATGCTAAAATATTTGATATGGTGTACAATGCTAAAACATTTGATATGGTGTACAATGCTAAAACATTTGATATGGTGTACAATGCTAAAACATTTTATATGGTGTACAATGCTAAAACATTTGATATGGTGTACAATGCTAAAACATTTGATATGGTGTACAATGCTAAAACATTTGATATGGTGTACAATGCTAAAACATTTGATATGGTGTACAATGCTAAAACATTTGATATGGTGTACAATGCTAAAACATTTGATATGGTGTACAATGCTAAAACATTTGATATGGTGTACAATGCTAAAACATTTGATATGGTGTACAATGCTAAAACATTTGATATGGTGTACAATGCTAAAACATTTGATATGGTGTACAATGCTAAAACATTTGATATGGTGTACAATGCTAAAACATTTGATATGGTGTACAATGCTAAAACATTTGATATGGTGTACAATGCTAAAACATTTGATATGGTGTACAATGCTAAAACATTTGATATGGTGCACATAACCTAAGGCTTCCCCTTGGGGGATGCTGTTTAAACATGACGATTTTTATATTTGTTTCGAGCAAAGCAATGGAACAGGGGTAAAACATTGACCCGCTGCTCCATTCTACTTCTGACTCAAGCCTGAGTCTGAAGAATCTCAGCGCAGTGCAAGAACTCCGTAGCACTGCCGAGGATCCTGAAATACTTTGGGTAGATTTTTAACTCTAAATTTTGTCCGGGCAGTGCCCTTAGGCTACTCTTTTTGATTTCCAACTGCCAAGAGATTTTTTACATGCGCAACAATACACACGGGCGTCCAATCTCAATACCCAGAGACCAGGGGAAATTACTAGAAGTCTGTCTGAAAAAATCCTAGCCTTCACTGGGGTCTGAACTCGGGACCTCCAGCACTTGAGATAGATGCCATACCTTGAGACTACGCAGCCCCAATTAAAGGTATACAGTCAGTGAATGATGAGGAATTTTGAGCAAAGGATGAAAGCTCTAACTATGTAACAGTAACAAAGACAAGTGCTGGTAATTTCTATAATACATAACAATAGTATTCCAAAGATATTGCATAAATCTTGGTACTATATTTTTAGTTCACCCCAAACAAAGGAAATCCCAGATTCCCAGGAAAGTCCGATATTCTAAAGGTGTTATGGGTTGGGATTAGGATTCGGCTGAGAGTTATTTGGTGTCTCTGAGGTGGTTGGCATTAACATAAATTCTAACCCTAACTCAAACCCATAACACCTCTAGAATACTGGACTTTCCTAGAAACTCTGTTGCATCATGTACTTTAACTATGTGCCTTTATTTGTTGATATAAATTATTCACCATTAATATTAAAATTCAAATCTGAAGCACATGAAGTCAGCCATTCTTCAAAAAAGGACCTAAACTTCTAGGTTGATCCAGCCTAAAATGGGTAGCAGGTAAGACCTGTAGGGCAAAGGCGGTCTGTGTGATGTTGACCACATCACCCAGCAACTACTGCTTGGTCTACAAAAATATGAGTCTTGCAACATATGCCCAATGTGCCACTGTATCATTATCCTGTATGAGATGCTGTTACACATCAAACAGTCTTAGTCTTGTCTTCCATTCTAATCTATCATACATAATGATTTCAATTTCAGATGTCATGGATAGAATCTACTCTGGCAACCTAAGCTTCTTTCAACAACATTCGTTTAGCGTTTCTCTTGCACGTCCTACTTTTTCCCAGCCCATCTGTTTCCCATTCTAAAGCCTGCTTAGTGACTCTCTGCCCGCCTCTGGGACTCTCTGTGCCCGAACACAGAATTATCTTCTTTGTTTTATAACGTACACGTTTCTTACTTAAATATTAAAATATTTTAGTTAATGAATTTCCTCAAGACTTATTTTTAGTTTTCAGCTTATTTGGCTCTCCTCCGAACTTCTACCCCATATTATGGTGGCCAATGAAATACAGGGCCTCAGTCTTATGCAAATGCGGACTTCCTGCCGAAGAACAAAATGCGGCAAAACTAGGATCGGCTCCAAATAATGAAACAAATATGTTAATTGCGAACCTGTTTCTGCAACTATGCTGCACCTCCGACAGTATACCCTGCGCCGTGTGTAGCGGCACGGATGGGGGGCTAAACTAGATGGACTCATGAGCAGCAGCTACCGTATCTCCTGCAACTTCCTGCAATTTATTTTCTTGTGAGTCCCAGGCATCTAGTTAAGATCCCCATCCGCACCGTGCAAAGCAGTGGATACGCTCGGCTGTGAGTTTAATCAGAAGAACACTTTCGCTAATCTTCGTTGGAGCGCGTGGTCTCCCCGCCATCTCCATATTATCATCTGTAATGTTGGTGTCTCGAAACTGTTAACGGTCGCTAGTATCGACTGCAGAAACGCTCGAAATTGTCAACGGTCGCTAGTATCGTCTGCTACTATCCTCTGCAGGGTTGCATCTCTTGAAATTGTCAAGTAATCCTAGTTTTGCCGCGATGTGTTCGTCACAGGAAGTTCGCATTTTACACACGACTGAGGCCCTGTCATGGTATTTGTCTGGCCGCCATAATATGAGGGCAGAAGTTCCGATCGGAGGAGAGCCGCTTATTTTGTTGGACAATTTCATTACTATTATTATTTAAACTTAAATTAAACTTTCGTTTCAGCATTTGGTTGTGCTAGAACTTTTGCTGGCACATGTAAGAAGTGAAATATAATATCAGAATTGCAAACATGTAACTTGGATTTAACGAACTGAATATTAACACTCAGACTATTCAAATTAATGTGTCGCCATTGTGTTTACAATCACTAGGCAGCCACTAGAGTACATCTTAGTTCTTCTAAATTCCGAAACAGACCAGAAAAAACGGACAGTGTTTACAGTAGTGTACAGACAGTCAATGTGATTAGCTTCCCTTGTCTCTGTACAACATGGCCACGTACGGATAGTAGTAGTATTATTAGTAGAGTTGAGGAAACGGCAAGTGTTTAGAATTTACAGCTTTAGTCAGTGCTCAAAGAATTATCAGACTTGATAAAACTAAAGGTTTGTCAGTAAAAACATCATTAAGATTAAGTAATTTTATGTTGATACTAGATTATTAATAGAATCGACGTTAAGCTTAAGGGAATGGGCGTCACCTGTGTAAGTGTATGAGTATGACTCATGATGTATGTATTTAATGTATCATTCGACTCTCCTCCGAACGGCGTCCTTATATTATCGCGGCCATAAAATATCCTTACGGGGCTCAAGCATATGTAAAATGCGGACTGTCTGCCAAGGAACAAATCGCGACAAAACTAGGATTACTTGACAATTTCAAGAGGCGCAACATTGCAGACGATAAAAGCGACCGGTGATAATTTCGAGCGTTTCTGCAGACGATAATAGCGACCATTGACAATTTCCAGACAGTCCAGACGATGAAAGCGATATTGGCGAGTAGACCACGCGCTCCCACGCAGATTAGCAATACTGTTCATCCGATTGAGGATTTAGCAGCTGTAGATGTCAGACCTGCCGATCTGTGTCCTCACACTTTTCGGCATGCGCAAAACGCGAATAAACTCACCGCGGAGCGTATCCCCCGCGCCACTACGTGCGGCGCGGATGGGAGGGGGGGGCTAAACTAGGTGCCTGGGACTCTTGAGCAAATTAATTGGAGGAAGTTGCAGGAGATGCTGTAGCTGCTGCTCGTGAGTCCCAGCCATCTAGTTTAGTCCTCGCCGCTACGCTACGCGCAGGGGATACGGTCGGCAGTGAGGCACAGTCACAGAAACAGGTCCGCAAGGAGCCGTCAGATTTTTAATAGAACTGAGCCCCATAAGGATATTTTATGGCTGCCATAATATCGGGACGCCGTTCAGAGGAGAGCCTATCATTCTGCTATAGATACTTTGAACTTTGTCAAATTGTCTAAATTATTTTTTATAATAATGCCGCTAGTTGGATTCCACTTACAAATTTAGTGGTACCTCATTCAAGTCTATACCTTAGTTCTGAGCCAAGATATTATTTATTAAGCTAAATTATATAAATACAAGAAATTGTGTTATTAGTATTAGTCCACTATTTTTATAAACAGGGGGAAATACTTGTTCTGCACTTTCAGTTTTTCAGAAAATCCTTTTCATCTAACAACTTTCTTGTTTTTGGTATACCTTAGCAGCCACATATCACTATGTTCATGACAGCAAGACCTAAGAGAATACATTAGATTTACCGACTATGAAAAGTCTGACAGCATCAATAGGGAATCTCTCTAGAAATTGATGGGGCACTATGGAATCCTACAGAAAATTATTAACTTAGTAAAAGCAACATATAAAATCATGAAATATTGAACTCTTCATGAGGGAAAGCTGATAGATACATTTGAAATAAGAACAAGTGTGTGACAGGGATGTCTTTTGTCACTTTTCCTATTTCTCCTGGCAGTAGACTGGATTATGAAGACTAACTGTTAACACTGTGGATCCCTAGAAAACAGCCGGATGACCTGGACTTCAGCAATGATATTCCTCTTTTATCCCACTCACAAAATCAGATGCAAGATAAATTAAATATGCTTGACGCAAGATCGCAACAAAGGTAATATTTATAAATTGCTCGACCGAAAGTTTACATCACTTGGGTGAACAAAAAGAAGGACAACAGCAATCTGTCAACACGCCCACAATATTACTGTCGGCGCAATTTATGAATTCAGCTAAACATACAAAAACCAGAAAGTTAGTTATAATTTCTGGTTATTTTGCGATATTGAAATAATTGGAGATTTTTATCTAGTATATATGCATGTCAGATTAAATCCGCTATACCTTTTTAGTCATTCACTAGGCGGGGAAACCTTTTTTTTCCACTGCTGTTTGTTGACTTTAACAACATGGCTTTATCACTATGCATTACTGTCATACTATCTCCGCTACTCTCAAGTCTGTCTACCTACTCTTTTTGACCACATGGTCCACCAACAGTCTTTATGCAGCCAAGATGTTGGAGTGTATAAATTTGACTGATCAATATCTACCTCTTTCCATGCACACATTGTGTATTTACCTCATATGTATTTGTTGACCTTGTTTGTAATCAAATTGCCAGAAGTGTTGCGAACAGAATTATTTCATCAAGTTAACTTTGGTATAGATGCAAGTCAGCAAGTCTTGAAGCATGCTAGAAGTGCAATATCCTGATGAAACTGCACATTACTGTCCTTTTATTCTCTACGACAAGTCTTTCTATCTGTGAGAATGCATATGGATATTCAGATTGCCTGTTTGATTATGTGTATCTTTCTTATTCACTTATGTAATTAGCAATCTCTTGTTTGGAACCACTTAAAAGGCATTTACATTTGTTTTTTTCTCTGTTATCATAAGAGGATCTCCTTTCCTTCAGCTTGTTTAACTGTATCTGATCATCAGTGATTTGATAAATGCACTGTAAAATATTAACTCTTTGAGTCCCAAGCGCATTGTTCATAGGTTCCTACTGTGATCTGATGCGCCGAGTTATTTGATTCATTACTACCCCCTGGGCCTGTGATGCTAAACCCCCTGGGACTCAAAGAGTTAATAACCATTTCTAATGGTTACCAGCTATGAAATAGCCAACCAGTAAACAACACACATGTCTGCAAGTTTTGACTAACCTTACCTACCTGTGTTGAGTCAGGCAGAAAAAAACTACACAGTAACACACAGATGCATTACGGAGAAACAGTTGGGAACATTGTAGCAGTTATTGTTATTAGAGTAATGAAAATCCTTGAAACTTATGTTTATACAAGCATTTATTTTATAGCATCATAATTTTAATTACGATTTACTTATGCTTTGCAATATTTTGAGCATCTGTAAGTATGAACTCACCTGGCAGTGAATCTCCAATGCTGGAAGCTGCTATGTTATAAACAACCGAAAATACATTCAGTAGCATGAATAAGAACATTGCAAGAATAAGAGATAAAATATGGAACAATCAAGTGTGGTATTAACTCAGTTGGAAAGTGCGAGGCAGAAGCTGGGACATTGAGCAAGCTACAAGAAAATCAGATAGGAGGCTTTAGAAATGTAGTGATACAAAAGAAAAGGTCACAAATGAAAACCAAAGCAAGTTTACAGGACTTTGAGAAGATGGAATGAGATCCGATGGAATAAAAAAAAAAGATACCAAAGAGATCTACCTAGGCCACCACTGACATCTTTCCTCCACCCTGCTGTGGGGAAGGGGCTTGTCAGTTCCAGTAACCCCCCAGAGCTTTGCCTATGATAGTTAAGTTACTGCTAGAGTCTCCTATGTCAGTCAGACTGATCAAGGGCAAGGAGCCAGAGTAAGAGAGACACAGACCTGCTGCCAAACAAGTAGACTCGAGTCGGGCAAAGGCAAGGCCCGTAAACTTGATAAAATGCTTGTCAAATTTGAATGCACATAGCCTAAGCCTTGATGAAACTGTGCAGCATAACTCAGATCATGATGTTGATCTATTCTGGAAACATTAAAGACCTGCCACTTTTAGCACAATAATAGGGTGTTTACTGTAACCAAAAATGAGATGTTAAAACCATATTTTTCATCTCTGTACATGTATCGACTTAATGCATGTTTTTTTAATCAACAGCGTCTGGCACTGAAGTTGTACTGATGAATCTTTTTTGAAATGTCAACATCTATTGTTACTTTGAATGTTGGAGGTATTCTGTTCACAACAACAAAAGCAACGTTGCAGAAGTACCCAGATTCCATGCTTGGATCATTAATAAGTAATGGTTTGCCAAGCACCAGAGATGCAAATGGCCATTTTTTTATTGACAGAGATGGTCAGATATTCAGACATGTGTTAAATTTTCTCCGATCTTCCCAGTTGTGCTTGCCATCAAATTTTAAAGATCTTGATCTGTTAGCTGCTGAAGCTGACTTTTATCAAATTAGCCCATTAATTGATGCTGTTAATGAATATCGAGATGCTTTCACCAAAACAGCTAGGACGTTTTATTTAGAAATTATAGAAGTGAGAACTGGTTCTACGGCCACAATGCCTACTAGTAATTCACGTGTGAAAACTATTTTATTAGGGAGAAAAGATGTACTGCTGTCCTTGCCGCCAGCAGTCATAGGCACTGATTTTATTGAACGTTTGTGTTGCAAGGAACCACAGGAACATACAGAAGTTGAGTTATTTGGCAGCCCAGTTCGTCTCCGAGTTGGGGAGGAACTTCACAACTTAGGTTGGAGCCTTATTTCTTCAGATCTGTCAACTTCCTCTGGTTTTGATAACAAATCACAATTTGGCATGAGCCTGATCATCGAACACACTTTCAGAGACAGGTGGAGTAGAGATTTTGATGCAGATGAGCCAATTAAAATTAACCCAAATCACTCACTGTTACTAGAAGAAGCAAATGTTTGAATCAAAGATGTGATAGATTACCCGGCATGGATGTGCATCATTTTAACTCGTAGCCTATATGTTCTATAGCTCTTCAATAGTTGTAATATTTTCACTGTAGAAAGTCAAGTGCCTTGCCAAATAGCATGGCTGAATATCCCTCCATACAACTCTCATTCATTGTTCCTGTTTATCAATCAAAGTTTTTGCCTTTCTTAATATGTAACCTAGCTCCCCTGTGAGTTCCAAGGTTCCATTTTGAGGGGAAGAGAATAGTCATTGATACACACACACACACACACACCACCCCCATCCCCCCCCATCTTTCCTTTACCAACAAGCATGCCATGAAATTCAACTAATTAGAGTTGTTTCCTTTAAAGTCAGTGTGTTTACAGCCAATGAACCCTTTAAAAAAAATCATAGCCAGAAAATATTTAGGTTTTTTTTGGCGGGGGAGTGGTATTTTTATTTTTATGTCCATTTCAAACCATTTAGATTACTCACTCTGTCGGTGACACTTCATCAATCTTCTGTAGTTTTATGTTAAATCTAGTTTTGTGTAACATGAGTATTGGAAAAAAAAAAAATTATAGCTGCATCACCCATCAGTTTACACAGACCATGAGTCTAGCATCATTTGCCAGATGAGCCATCAGCATAATAATTGAGTGTGTATATATGTGTGTGTGTATACAGTGGTACCTCGACTCACAGACCACTCTACATACAAACTTTTTGAGTTTAAAACGTTTTAATATCCCATATTGACCTCTGCATACAAACCTTTTGAGATTCAGACTTTTTCCTATCCCCTATTGACCTCTCTACATAAAAATCTTTTGAGATACTAACTTTTTCCTATCCCATATCGACCTCTGCATACAAACTTGTTGAGATACATACTATTTTCTATCATATATTGACCTCTGCATATGTACCTAGATTCTAGAAATGAACCGTGCATTTGGAAGTTGATGAAGCAGACATAGTGGTGATGGTAGAGGAGCATAACATTAAATTAACCACTGAAGAGTTACAAGAGTAAAGAACCGAACAGGAAACAGTAAGGGCTGAGGAGGAAGAGCAGTTGTCTTGACAAAATGAAGACAGCAACAGAAAGGGAGCAATCCTTACAAGTAACGTAAATAAATCTTGCAGCCTGGGGCGTATTAGTAGAATAGGTGAATAAGTGGTATCCAAATAAACCTTTATTTCCAGAATCACTGGTGTCTTCAGTGATAATGTCATTAATCATTTTAGAAGGGTCTTAAGGGAACAACAGGTGCAGACAACATTAGAAAGGTTTTTAAAACTTTCCTCGCCAAAGAAACGAAAGAAAGTCATCGATGACGATTGAAGTCAGGAATTGTTTTAAAATGTAATGGAAGGTGATTTTCATACTACATACATGTGTATTATATGAAACCAAAGATGTGGTAATAAAATTTGTAATGGTTTACAAAATGTGTCTTTATTACCTAAAAAATGCCTTCTCACTCTTGATCCTTTTCTTTCCATTTTCTTACTTTAGGTGAGAGAAATTATTTTATTATTTTATTTTTAATCTGAGAATGGATTAATTGATTTCCTGTGAGATGCAATGGGAAACAGTTTCGAGATTGATTTCCTGTGAGATGCAGTTGGAAACAGATTCGAGATATGAACCACTTTCAGGAATGAATTAAGTTCTAAAGTTGAGGCCCCACCATACAAATGTATGTGTGTGTATGTATACATATAATATTTGTAAGCGAAAGATTGTCTAATATACAGCACCCTGTCTCGGAAGCTTAAATATTTTGGTCATATCAAGCGCCATGATTGATTGGAAAAAAATTATGGCACAAGGTATGGTACTCGGGTTCAAACACGACCTGATTGGACTGTGGGGTGGGAGGAAGGTGGTTAGGGCCACTTGTAGATTTTATGGGGTCGTTAAAACTGCTCACATCCTGTAATATAAGGCACGCTGGGTGGCCGGTGAGACTATCGACACAATACAACTTGACACAAATGCCACTTAGACTAACCCGTCTCAAAAGTTAAGATGCATGAATGAACGTCAAATCACGTCTGGCTGGGCCCGACTTCGTTACTAGAACCACTAACTGTTCCCATGAGAGGTTGGCTATAATGTCTCCTATCTTGGCCTCAAAGGCGGCATAGACGTGCTTTCCTATGCTTTACACCCATACTGCGCAATCGTGTTAGTGTCAGAGATTTGTCATTATCCACTAGCCCAGTCTGTACAGCGTTGATGATATCTGCTTTGAATTTAAATTGGTAAATAAATTAGATTTGGCATACGTCGACACTTGTTCTTTCACTGATAGTGTATTAAATGTATCATAACAAAGGGAAACAAACTGGTAATGCTATGGAATGAAAATGAGAAAGAAATTATATAGTTATTTGAATGAGCACTAAACAGACTGAGAGGTTGCTTGGTTATTTATAGAATGGCAACTAAAAAACCACTGACAGAACTGTAAATATATTGTGGCAGCTGAAAAGAGATAAATGAAAAGAGTGTGAGAGCATTCATGTGTATTCTTTTGCCATGAAAAAGTACCAGTTAATTAAATGTACTGTTGGCTTGATACAGAGAAATATGATCACCCACACCAGCCAACAAGCACTGTATGATGACTGTTGCAAAAAGTAAACTAGATTATGTCTTTAACTTTCCATACAAGCATTTATTGTCTCAACATTCAGACGATCTTTAGCACACTAATTATGTTGACTGTCTCCACAAATTCTCCCTGACTCTCTTCTAATATTCAGTGTATAATTTCTTTGTGACAAACATTTCATTGTTAGCTCTGGGTGTTTGTTTGGTTGATTATATAAATATATGAAGTTTGCTTTTTCGCTTTTATTTTATTGAATGGTAATTATGCATTTCACCTTGCGCAGGTTGTATTTGATCAAACTAACAATCTGGTGAATTTTATAGATATAAAAAACTGCATAAAACAAGAAGCAACTAACCATATCATTGTGGAAGAAGAACTGGAGCAATCAAAAATGCAGTCAATACTGAGCCACATCTTTCGCGTAAGACAAGATAGGACTTTTAAACTAAGATAATAGAAACAAGTCTAAGGCCAGTGATGAAACCACAGACGGAAAAAGAACAGATGGTCTTTAGAACGAATAGAGGCTGCACAGATACAATTTCAAAACTAACAATCAATAAAAAAGACTCATTTGTAGCGTTCATAGACCAGCAGGAGACAATCACAGAGGGAATAGTGAAGTATTATGGAAGGTTAAAGCTAGATTTGTCATATTCAAAGAACAAGACGTTTTAACCCTCTAAACACTCCAATGGTAGAATTTTAAGGTGTATATAATGCAGTAGAGAAATGGCCGCAATCTGTAATGAATTAGACCCAGAAGGAATTTTTCTTGCGACATTTAATGAAATACACACTAGCGTGACAGTGCATGAAGCAGCTGGTGAGGCTAGAGAGGCAAGTGTCTAGGACACACATATTGTTTCCAAAAGAAGAGACTCTCAGACATCTGATAATGCAGATGAAGTCACATGCTGGGGTAAAATATCCAGATATGCTGAATAGTGGAGTTGAGTTGAGTCAAGAACTGATATCACAGCACTCGGATCATTCCCATGTGTGGTCCGTCCTCATCTTCAGCAGCCAACACACTGAGTTCCATTTCTAATGATACCAGCCGTAATCGGTTTGTGTCCGTCTTACCTGTCCTCTGTGTAGTGAGCCGGCCAGACCCCCTGGTTACACCCAGCTGCCTCATTCTCTCCAGGCCATAATAATCTTGTTTCTCTACTGATTCCGTTGCTTGTTGCCAAAGGGCCATAACCACATCTGCTCTGTCATGCATCAGTTCACCACACAGTGGTGCAGATCCAGTTCATTCCCCACCACGCCAGTATTGCCTGGAGAAAAGATCCAAAGTATGCTCACTACCTGTGACCTTTCCAGTGTAGCTTGCCACTGCTCGAAGCATCCCTGTCTTCACCGTTCTCAGCATACTTTCAAAGTCTGTACAGTTACGATATGTGATTTAATCTTGTTCTCTAGCCACTGGAGAGCTGCAGTTACCGCCTCCACCTCCATTCTCATGCTAGAGGTTGTGGTGTCATATGCTAGGTTGTCTTGCACTAAAGAATTTTCCATTGTCTTTCATTGCGAGCTCCCAGGCACTTCTCTTCCCTCTACCAACCGAACCATCTGCATAGATAATCAGATGATCTGGGCGAGAATTGTGGTGAATCAGCTGTTGGACGTCAACGCTATAGAAAGATTTTCAGAATACCATTGGACAAGGAAGACAATAAATATTGATATTCTAAAGGTTATGAACATCAAGGAAGACTGGCAAATAAACATTCCCATAAATAAACAGAGGGGGAACCCTTTAGGCCATTACATACTATATATTAATAAAGTAAAAGAAAATGTATTGATTGGCACTCATAGAAAGAAGTAGAAAGATAGAAGAACACACTAGACAATATAGCTTTCGATTTTTATGATATACATAATAGGGGTCTTTTTGGGTGTCAGGAGATTCCATAGCCTGGAGCACCCAAATAGTAGAAGATTGGTGATTTAGGGGTCCATACCTGTAGATTTTATTATGGTGGCCCTGTTTTGTGTGGTCTCTTCCCCTGTCTAGAGACCCCACCTCTCCGCTATCAGCTTGTTATGGGGCACCCCTATTGCTGAATTACCTCTGTGGTATACCCCTGTCTGTAGATCTCGTATATGGTGGCACATCTGTCTTGTGTTGTTCTCACCCTGCGTATGGTGCTCCCCCACAACACTGAGAGGCCGTCATTGGCCGTTACATAAACAACACACACAAAATTGAATAATAGATCAGCAGAATAGTTTATGCCTTTTTTATTGTATAATTTTGTCTTTTTTTTCGTATAAGGCACTTGCAGACCAAAATATACAACATATAAACATAATCACATCTTTTCAGTAGATAAGTTCATTGTAATGTTACAATGGTATATATTATAT